GAGAGAGAGAGAGAGAGAGTCCAGACCATGGTAGGGAAATCCCATTCTTTAGGGCTGTGGAAACAAGTAGGAACCATGGTCCACAAGCCAGGGAGATCTAAGGTAGTTATTGGGTCATATTAATGGGACATAATAAAATCATATGAAACTTAGTTTTACTTACAATACGACATCCATGTGGCGAGGTGCATAGTGCCCACCTCCTATTCCCAGTAGGACTTTGTTTCTTGCTTCATTCCTGAAAAGCTAAATAGCGTTGATCTTGCAAACTGGAATTATCAAAGAAAAAAATAATTGAATTCATCTTTCAAAACGAAAAATTACGCAAATATTGATGATGAAACACTTGATAATTAGTTTCAAGTTTCAAGATAAGACCTGTGCCCTTTCACAGTGGCACCATAGTCTCTTTTACTGGAAGATCTTAATACAGTAATAGGGCTTTAGAGATATTTCTAGCCCTCAACACGAAGAAACATGCAGTAAGGTACCCAGTACAAGAAAAGGGCAAAAAGAAAAACACATGTAATGCTTGGAAGAACTCAAACAATGTCTCTTGTCCCTAGTTATTTACTGGATTCTTGAGTATGGATATATTACCAAGCTTAAACCAGATTCCCACAATTCTTGTTATAAATACCCACACGTGAGTGAAACTTTGCACATTCTTCATAATATATGGCCACACTGTCCATGGAAATTTAGAAGGAGATATCTTTGCAATGTGTTTTACAGATACAGGAACATGAATTCTAGCATGTGAAATCAACTTGTATCTTTGTTAAAGTATATAAGTAGCTACTTGTATTAAAATTAGATGGAAACAAGAACTACCAATAAAGGTGAAATCTGAGAGGGCCATATATATGCCGTCTCGATGAAACTAGCATCTTATAACTGAAGTAATAGGCAAATATTGCATTATAAGTGAACAATAAGCCTTCTAGTACTCTGGGACAGATGGTACCACTGGGGAGAAGATGAGAGAAACATATGGAAGTTCCTCAAGGCAAAGAAAGAGAAGATTTCTCAGTTCCGTGTAGGCCTTAGAAACAAGGAAAAAGTTTACCTAGAGCCGAGGCTCTAAACAATCAAATTAGAGCCCACATCAAAAATTTCACGCAAAAAGGTTGTTTTGATGCCCAAATATCCTCAAATTGATCATCTCGACATCAAGATGCATGGACATGAGAAAAAAGTAGATTTCAAGTTTTGGAAATAGTGCATCTTGTAACACATTTTTGGACAGTCAATTTTTAAGATTTTCAAGTTTCACAGATCTGCTCAATCTACACTATTTTTAGAGCTTTAAATTTTATAATTAAAGATAAAAATATATTTTTAAGGCTATCACAAAGATTTTCAGTATTGAAACTACATTTCTCGACACTATTTGAAGGTACGGTTTACTTTGATTGTAGAGCCTCGGCTCTATACAAACTGCACCCTAGAAACAATGAATTTGATGGTTTTGTAAGACACTTTGGAATATCATTGCCCTCATTCTCTTTGGTATCAAGGTAAGACCTTTATGTCGACTACAGTCTTGCATTCGCATCTCCATGCCTTGAGACTCTGAAAACCTGAAAATTCAAGCCTTCTATTGAATGGAATGATTCACAGGACTTTCGTTGTGAGTGTTATGAAATATTGCATTTTGCTATTGAGAAAATCTTGCCAGAGCTGTTTCCTTGCATTAAAGTGCAACAAAGAAAACATAATTTTTTCAATATTTTTGGTGATACATTAAAAGCTTTCACTATGACGATAAACCTTTAAATTAAGAAGCTGTTAAACCCAAGAGACAAAAGGTGCCCACTGCAAATGCTTTCTTGGCATTCCTAATTTACTTAAAAATTCTTAAAATGATTAATACTGATTCCAAAGGAAAAAAAAAGACATACCCATTCCAAATTCCGACACCACCACAGCCATCAAGACCCAGTCCACGCCAAAGTAACTGGAAATCAGAAACAAGTGCAGAAATTACTTGAAAAAGGTTTCTTAAATACGATAAAACAAGTTAACACAACATACCATATGTCATATACACGAGTTGATTTTGTAAAAGTTTGTATGCTTTCAGAAAGAGAATAATAAGTGAACTTCATGATTATTTGCCACAAATAAGTTAATGATGCTTAGGTACCAACCAGAGCAATGGCTTGAGCAGCATCCTGCCTCTTCCAATATTCTTCTGTACTACCTACCATAAAGAAACAATCCCATCAAATAAAATAATTACATCCCAATGATTCCAAATTCCAGTTATGTTGAAGTTTAGTCTCTTTTTAAGAGCCTCCAAATTGTCATTTTGCACATAAACCACACTTTTCCCAAGGAAGGGGACGAATGTAACATGGTAATGGAGGTAAACCATTGGTGCCTGTGCTTTGTCTTTTCTATATTAATACAGCTCCATCTTTTCCAATGCTCAAGTTTCTTTCTCTGAGTAAAGATTACAGTTCACCAAAATAACCACATGCATAACGAACAAAATGCAGAAACTTAAAGGAAAAAGCTGAAAAGGTGCATTTGTATGTCAGTCATTAGCAAGTACATACCAATTTCTACGAACATAGTTGGTGCGGTCACTACAGGACCGTGATGCGTACCCTCCAATGTAACCTACACAAATGGAAAATGGAGAAATGAGCTCTGCTCATTATTTCAAGACATATCGTTTGACATTAACAGATATTATTTGAGGTTCAAAGGGCACACATCCATTATGATTCAAATATCATTGGAAATTGGACAAAGTGCCATTCCATGGATGACTGCAAGAAGTGAGTGAAACCACCAAAATGTTAATATGATACCAATGTGAAATTCATCACCTCTTAGAGCAGAAACATTATCTGTGATCAAATGACCACTATAGAAATCTCTTTTCTTATCAAAGGAAAATGAACCACATATTTAACCATAATAAAAGAAGAGGTCCCCGTGATGCTTTGGTTTCTTACAACAATATACAGTTAAGAATATTATGTACACTTGTGCTTGATGGTATTGGTCAATCAGCTCACCATAGATATTCATTATAATATTGAGGATGACTAACACACATTATGTGAGTATTAAGTTCTCCATGGTGCATCTCATGATGCCTTCACAAAGTAGAATTTGAAAATACAACTTAGACAGTGTTTTTTTCGTCCAATTAACATAGGCCGTCCATTTTGGTGAGATGCTTAGATCTAGACCTTAGAAGAATCTATTTTCTTTCCAAATTTTTTAGATGACTTTATTATTATTAGATTAACAATGTTAAAAAAGAAACAAATGATTTTGAATTCATAAAGGCCTAGATCTTGAATTTCACCAAATGGACGGTCGAGATTCATTGTTGGAAGGGACTCATTTCGACCATATATAGGGTGCAAATTATTATTATTATTTTCAGATTGATTATTGAGATAAAGAGAGTATGTATGCAAAATTTTAGGTCATACAAATACCACAAATAT